AGGAGAAGAAGAAGAAGGAGGAGGAGGGGAGGGGTCCCTGGCGCGGACCCCCTTGATGCCCCATCCCCGGGGGAGCCTTCCCGCTCGGCGCCTCGCCCCCCATTAACTTTGCCCCTCCACCCACCCACCCAACCGCTTCCGACCGGGCGAAAGAAGTCTCCGATGGCCGGACCAAGGCAGCAGCTGAGCTGGCTCCGGAGCTGGTGGACTACTGGCGTGTGTTTGGCGACCCTGGGCTTCCCAGGTGAGACCCCCTTTTTTTCCCCTTCTCCCTCCGGCTGGAAGATTTGGAGCGGGAGGGGTCGCGGAGGGGGGAGGGGGAGGGGAAGAGTTGGAAGGAAGGGGTGGGGGGCATCCCTGCCGCTCATAAGACTGATTATCCTTAAGGGGGTGGGTTTTTTGGGGGGGGGGACCTATGGGCATCTCCCCGTGCCAATTGGGAGGGTGGCATGAGGCTGCCCCACCAGGGTTCACGCTCTTCTGCCAAGGGAGGGGGAAGGGGCACCTTCAGCTGGTGAGGAAGGGAGGGGGCTTGGTCCATCCCAAGCAACCCCCCCCCTCTCGATTGGAAAAAAAAATGGGGGGTGGCTGTGGGGCAGCCTCTCTCTCATCCAGGTTGGGAAAAAAAAATGTCTTTTTTGCCACTGGGTAGACCAGGGTGGGTTCCCTAACCTGGCTGAGTTGGATCCCAACTCCCCTCTTTCCACCGTGGGAACTTCTCCCTTATGCCCTGGGTCGAGGGGGAAAGGGTGCGCCTCGCATTTGAGACAGTTTTTTGGGGGTGGGTGGGGTGTCTCTGGTAGATTTCCCTTCCTGTGCTGGATGGTGGGAAGGATGAACCTCAGTTTTCCAACTCTTTCCAAGCAAAACCTCCTCTCTGTGTTCCTTGGGATCGTTCGGCTGGGGGGGCTGGGTGGGGGGTGAGGAGAACACCATTGGGGGGCTGCTAACAGGAGCCCAGGGTGCCTGGGAGGAGGAGAGAAAGAGGAACCTGGCATCGTCTGGGCACCGTTCCCAGGAAACGGACGAGAAGTGGGCATTTTGACGGGCTGAATGGTGGCCGGGGCTGTGTGTTGAGTGAGCCCGTGCTGGTTGCGTCGGTGTCCATGCTGACCTGTCGTGGAGNCCCAGAGTTCCAAAACAGTGGTCTCCAACCTTGGCAACTTTAAGACTTATGGACTTCAACTCCCAGAGTTCCAAAACAGTGGTCTCCAACCTTGGCAACTTTAAGACTTATGGACTTCAACTCCCAGAGTTCCAAAACAGTGGTCTCCAACCTTGGCAACTTTAAGACTTATGGACTTCAACTCCCAGAGTTCCAAAACAGTGGTCTCCAACCTTGGCAACTTTAAGACTTATGGACTTCAACTCCCAGAGTTCCAAATTAAAGGATGCAAATGACCAGCTGTCTGCAAGAAATATAAACCCTTCCCTTCCCAACCATCCTGTCAAGAGTTGAAGAAGCTTCTTGGATGAGAAGCGAAACATCTTCAAAAGAATAAAAAACAACTGGACAAGATAGTCCAGTTGCCTCCTGAAAAAAAAAAGCATCTTTGGAACAACCAGGACCTGGAGGACTGAGAATCTCTACAGATTTCAAGAAGACCCTTCAGTTTCAAGATTTCAAGAAGAAGTACTTCCGTCTGCAGGTTAAAAGAAAGTTACTAACCCCTCAATCAATCCTTTTCTTCAAGTAGAAAGCTAGCAGCCGGACCAAGGTTCAGCCCTGATGGGCTATCTTTCTACTGGGAAGGGAATTTAAAACCTCATAAATGTTAGTCTCCTAAAATGACCTGAGGATTTTATTACTTTCCTGTGGCCGGAATAAAAATAACTGGCATATTATTTTTCCAACCGCAGGTTTCCTTCGCGTCTGTGGAAATGTGGTGCCATCAGCGAAGGGGCAAAGGCTTGCAAGGGCATGAAAAGGCATCTTTTTATAGGTTCCCCCCCCCCTCCTGCCCCCTCCCCTTCACCCGTTCCTCCTTGAGTACAACATCCTCCTTTGCAATAAATCTCCTCCTGGGTGCAGTTTCCAAGTGGGGAGAAAGACACTGGAAACAAAGGTGGCTGTGAAATAGGCATGGAAAATAAAGTAGCTAAATGAAGTCGCCACTTGTGGTTATTCGTGCCTAACAGTTGCATCCGTGCTGTTGTTGTTGTTGTTAGTTGTAAAGTCGTGTCCGATCCATCGTGACGCCATGGACAACGTTCCAAATGGTCACTCATGATCTCGTCACCTCTAGGCTTGATTACTGCAATGCACTTTACTTGGGGCTGCCCCTGAAGAGTGTTCGGAGACTACAATTGGTCCAGAATGCGGTCGCGCGAGTGATATCGGGTGTACCTAGATACACCCATGTTACACCTATCCTCCGCGAGCTGCACTGGCT